TGCTTTGCCCCGGGCTTCCTGGAATCAGCTGCTGATCAGTTTCAGCAGCAGCTGACTTGGGGACGCCTGGGGTTCTTAAGTTGAATCTGTATGAAGTCGGAACTGGTGTCCAGATCCAGCCGCTGTTGAAACTGATCAGCGGCTGATTCCAGGAAGCCGGGGGCAGAACAACTCTGCCTAGGGCTTCCTGTAGTCAGCCGCTGATCAGTTTCAGCAGCGGCTGAATCTGGAGGCAGTTCCGACTTACATACAAATTCAACTTAAGAACAAACCTGTAGTCCCTATCTTGTACGTAACCCGGGGACTGCCTGTATTCCTTATTTACATCAGCAAATTTTGTTTCTTCAGTATTTTCCCATGTCTAAAAAAAAAAGGTATTTGAACTTAAATGGCAACAAATTCTGACTTGATACAATCTTTAGCACAACATATAATCCCTCCTTCAATACTCCATATATTTTCATGGCTATGGAAAATTTGAGACAATTAACATATTTCACCCCTGAAGTCTAAGTGCAGTTTTAACTGTCTTGTCCCCATTAACTCATAAGTCACACTAATCAGATATACAGAAGCGTTAAACCTGATTAAGCAGTAGAGTCTAAGGATCAAAAGGAGCTTGTCTTTAATTGACAAACATTTGTCACATGATGCAAGGCATATACAATGTTATCATTTTCATAGCCAGTATATCTCCAAAACCACACGATCTTTTATGTTGGAAACCCTTTTCAAGTACCTTGCTTGTATTAACACCAAGTGCATGCTTTTTATTGGTTGAATAACAGCAAAGTAAAATTCAACTGCTTAAATCTCACATGAGTATTGTTAATGCTCAAACAGATCAAAAGTTTATCTCTACACATACAGAGTCAACATGATGTGACAGACAATAATGAAGTTTCTAGCTCATACCATCTAGCTCTATATTCCTTCCGTCAAGATTTCAGTGATCTAAAGAACTCCAAAAAGATAGCGATATAAAAGAATATACATCAGAGAAACTAAGCAAAATTGCCTATAATTATTATGACCACTAATAAGAGCATTTTAATAGGGACCTTTATGGTGGGAAAAATTTTAAAATACAGGCAGTCCCCGGGTTACGTACAAGATAGGGACTGTAGGTTTGTTCTTAAGTTGAATTTGTATGTAAGTCGGAACTGGTACATATTGTAGGGGAAACTCTAGCCAAACATTTCTCCAGAGCTCAGTTTTATTCTCCCACACCTCACTTCCCTCAGTCCTTTATTCTCAAGCTGAGGTGTCTGCTGAGAAAAGCCGCTCCGCGTCTCCCTGGTCTGCTGGGGGGAGGGGGGTGCTAGCTTCGCGTCTCCCTAGTCTGCTGGGGGGAAGCAGCTAGTGCGGGGTTGCCTCACCCCGTTTGTAAGTAGGGATCCGATGTAAGTCGGATCCATGTAACCCGGGGACTGCCTGTACATAATATTATGTGATCACAATGCCATTGCCCTTTCAAACTGCAACAAGTTGAAGTTTGTAATATAGGTGGTAAACCCAGATGCCTAATTTTTCTTGCCCTACAAAAAATATGCTATAGTAGCAAGTTAATGGTGCAAGCACATCTGCCCAGTGCAAGTTTGTAGAAGGAAACTGACATTTGCTCATTACCATGTCATTTTAGATGGTAATTTTTCAAATGTATGGTATGCAAAAAATTTACATTGGGCATGTCTACACTAGAAAGAAGATCAGCCTTCTGGAGGTTGATTTTCTAGCGTTTGATTTAGCAGGTCTAATGTAGACCTATAAATCGAATGCTGAGGGCAGCTCCCACCGATGTCTGGTACTCCTTGTTTTGCGAGGAGTAAGAAAAGCCAACAGGAGCATGTGTTCCTGTCAGCCTCCAGCTGTGTCGATGCCACCAAAATTCAGCTTAAGGTAAGCCGACTCCAGCTACGCATTTTGTGTAGTTGGAGCCGTGTCCCTTAACAGACTTGCCTGGCCAAGTATAGACCAGGCCTTTGACATAATTTGCTTAATTCTCAAAAATAGGTTTAAATAGCACCTTAATACAACAACACAGTTGTTCTGGCTATTCTGCAAGATGGTTCAGAGTCATGGACTATATATTATTGCCCCATTTCAAAACTTGATCAGTTCCATATTTGTTGCTTCAGGAAGATTGCACATGTGAATTGGTGAGACAAAACTCTATTAAACTGGGTGTGCTCATGGGTATGGAAGCAATGCTTATGAACAGTTTTGCTGGATTGAAGATGGATGACATGTAGACACCAAATATGGTCTTCTACAGCCAGCTTGTTTGTGGAAAGTGCTGTATTGGCGGTCAGTATAAGTGCTATAAAGATATCTTAATGGACAAAGTGAAGTCATGCTATCTCACAGTGATCTGGAAATCACAGCTCAGGACTGATTGTTCTGGCAGCAAACTACTGCATAGGCTCTCAAATGCTTCAAGAGTCAATCTATCCAGATATTAGTAGAAAATCGTAGGCTCCGAAGAGTGCACAGAAACGCATATGATGTATTTTTTTGTGTTATTTGTGACAGGATTTTCTGATCAAGGATTGGCGTAGTCACTGACCAATGACATCGCAGAATATGAGATCGGTCGATCGATGGCTCAGTACATCATCAATACAACAAATGTTGTAGAGATGTTATGAAGCTGACTGACCTGGTGGCTCACTCTGGTCAAATAGAGTGGCTACAAAGCCATCACAATACAACACTGCAAAAAGGTCATTTTTGTATATATTTGCTAGACCTAAGTGCATGTTTATTTGATGTGAAACTATCAAACATTATTATAATTAAGTCCTTTTGTATGTAACAACACAGTGTTTATTTTTTTCATACTGTACTTTGTTACTTTTATTTATGCAACAAGCTGCTTGGTGGAACTGCATTCAACCTTAGTATGTCAGTTACAATTGCTGTTTATAAAACAAAATTGAAAGCACATGTGGTACAGATAAACTACGGAAAAAATCTGCCTTTTAAATTAATGGAGCTTTTTGATGTGTCCATGCCTGTCAAAATTTAACCCCTCAAAGCTGCATCTCTACAGACCTGTAAATGATTAGATGACTAGATATTCAGTGTTTGTGTTGGGAAACAATTATCTTTTCTCGGGACAAAGGCAGCTCCCTTGCAGGGATCACCAGAGTCAAAAGGCCAAGGATGCTTTTATGTTTCATACCAAGATCTAACCAGACATTATTTCCTCCATCTGTCTATGTTTTGTGCATGTGTTTCAGGCTCAAAGAACAGGCCAAATAGAACAAATACAACAGACCAAGTAAAATAACAAAGCAAAAGCACCTTTTTATTTTTTTCGCTAGAGCAATGTTTCCCCACTTTTTTTTGGCCAACGAACCCCTTAAGAATTTCGAGGAACCCCAGGCAGGAAAATTGGTCAAGAACAAAAAAAAAAAAACAAACAAACAAAACAAAACAAAAAAACCAAACAACAAACAAACAAACAAAAATAAAGCGAGCGCTGTCTCTTTAACAGGACGGGGGCAGTTCCAAGTTCTCGTAGAACCCTTACTTTCACTTCGTGGAACCCCATTTGGGAAACACTGAGCTAGAGAATATGCTTTCCTACTATAGTATATTCCTTATTTACACCAGCAAATTTTGTTTCTTCAGTATTTTCCCATTTCCAGAAAAAAAAAAGGTATTGAACTTCAATGGAAACAAATTCTGACTATTTAACATGTAACAATCTTTAGCA